GGAGCAGTGTTAGCAGATTCAAGTTGTCACAGTCCCAGCGAGACCGCGAGGATCCCCAGTAAGCCTCCTTTGTCAGATCTGTCGGTGACGGGACACGTCCTGTTGTTTCTTTCGAAGAGGGTTCCGACCTTATAGCGCTCAACAATCACGATGATCCTCATGACAACAACCACTTCCAGCTTCGCTACACTACCGACTTTAACGAATTACTGCGATTTGTTTACCCTGAAATGAAAGACAACGCAAGTACATGGAGTACGCGCGCGATTTTAGCTACTACAAATCACGCCATTGATCGTTCCAATCACGTTATTGCCGATAGTCGTCCTGGCCAATTTTGTTCGCTCTACAGTTCAGACTCTCTCATCTCTGACGAAAGTTCAACCACCACAGCTTTCGCTTCACCCGAGCACCTCAATCAGCTGAATGTCCAGGGTGTACCTCCCCACGAACTCAAACTAAAATCTGATAATCTCGTCATCATTACTCGAAATCTGAACTCCTCCGAAGGGCTTGTGAATGGTCAAAAATGTGTTTGTCCTTGCAGTCTCTCCTAATAGTAGAGTTCTTCAAGTTAAATTGCTCACAGACGAACATCCACGCCCAATAGTTTTAATTCCTCGCAATAACTTTCACGGTACAGTGGGCCGCAATGGCATAACGTTCAGCCGCGTGCAATTTCCGATCAGAACCGCTTGCTGCATGACTATAAACAAGAGTCAAGGACAGACCCTCACCAGAATAGTGCTTGATTTACGGTCTCCCGCCTTTTCGCACGGCACCTGCATGTGGCTTTTAGCCGAGCCAAAAATCGTAATTCCATCATGTGTCTTTTGCCTGAATCACACATTGTCGACGGTGTTCCTCATACAAAAAACGTTGTCTTTTCTGCATTCGTACAAGCTGCAGTCTGTAACAATTCATCTCAGGCACGTTCCAGAGGCTCTCCTCCTCCACCCCCTACTCCTACATGGACAATAATAAAACGAAATTGGGGATGGAGCTTGCGGCTACCGCGCTCTGTCACGGCGAATATACAACGATGAAAGCAAACACTACGAGTTGCGACGTGAAATTGTACAGTACATGCAAAGCCAGCAGCAAAATGCTGACATGAGGTCTGCTGTGTTGCAATGTCGAGTTAACTCTGAGTATATATACATTGTCGGAGAAACTCCAAGGGTTTCGGATCTTATGAGGAATACCTTCAAATCATGTCCCACCCCCGAGCGTACCTAGGCGAGCCTGAAACTTTTGCTGCGCGTCAACGATTTAATGTCAACACCTGTGTGTGTCACGATCGCAACTCTCTTCCCAATCCTTCTGATGCCAACCCCCATGACATCCATTTTCGATTTGATCAAGCATCCCGCCATTATTCCTCTTTGTCTCTTACACCTTCTTCCCAGAATCAGAACACCCATGGCGGACTCTAACACATCGAAGTCCATCACAAAAGCACGTGAGTGCGCGTCTACAACGAAGTTGCAACACCAGGGTTATCAGTCCCACGGCGACCTCGACAATCTTCATGCGGCTTCATCAAGTAACACCGACCAGGCTTTTGAGAAGTCTTTAACCGCCGAAGCTCAAAACTTTCAGAGCGTTCTCTCTGAGGATGACCTTCAGCAGCTGTGTGTGTGTGTGTGTGTGTGTGTGTGTGTGTGTGTGTGTGTGTGTGTGGATTTTCGTGGTATTCATAATGGCGACAGTCCCCGCATTTTTCGTGGTGAGACGTGTACTGTACTTTTCAGCGTATGTAGAGTACTATACTTTTCAGTGTTTTTTTTCGTACAACCACAGCCATCCAGGGTCACACAGGAGGGAGCAAACACCAGGGCTTTTCTGTTCTTTTTATTTCTTTTCATGCCCCACCTTCCTTCCTCCTGCGGTGCGTGCTGAACTTTATTTTTATCGCGAGAAGGGTCCGGCCGTCCCTTTCCCTCGTCAACGGTGCTAACGTCGAAGTTTGGTACTCACGAGAGCTTGTCAGCTATATTTCGCTTTCACCCGCACATTTCGTAAAATTTTCACCCCATGGCAATTCGAACTCACGACCTCTGCAACTAGCGGATTACGAGGATACCACTAGACCACCGGGGCGACCGGTGTACTTAATTCCTGCGAGAATACGAACNTTGGTACTCACGAGAGCTTGTCAGCTATATTTCGCTTTCACCCGCACATTTCGTAAAATTTTCACCCCATGGCAATTCGAACTCACGACCTCTGCAACTAGCGGATTACGAGGATACCACTAGACCACCGGGGCGACCGGTGTACTTAATTCCTGCGAGAATACGAACAATTCGAGTTTCTCTTTGAACAGCATTGCTGTGATATGTGTATTGAGCATGAGAATGGTATGGCGTCGGAGAAGTCAAAGGATGACGGCTCAGCCCTTTCGTAGCTACACTCAGCAGTTCGTCGCTGTACGTTCTACGGTGGAAGGGTGGATTGGGTTATGGGTGTGACTGTACTTTTTGGGGGGGCAACAATGCCTTCTTCGGATATAAACTTGCACCCGTTGTGCACAGGGTGTGCATTGAGTAGGTTGCACGCGTTTGTTTGCCGGAGCGTAGTGTGTGTAGCGCTGGGTGTCCATAGAGTAGGTTGCACACAGTTTGCCGGAGCGTTGTGTGTGTAGCGCTGGGTGTCCATAGAGTAGGTTGCACACAGTTTGCCGGAGCGTTGTGTGTATACAAGGCGCGGAAGTTGGTGGTGCTAGTGGTGAGAAGAACCTACAGTGTGAAGGTTCAGAGAATTCAGCACCTCAGAATACAATTAATTAAAATGAGCCGCGGAGCGAGCGACATTTCTTCCCTTCGTTCCCAGGAGGGAAAAAAAGGCTCTATATATCGGCCAAAGTTGCGCCGCACGATACAGGGGCCACAAAACACAAAACTTGATTACGGTGAAGCCGAAATATCACACCTTTGGAATCATCACGACATCCACAGGGCACCGATTGACGATCTGTTCGCTTCTGATGAACAAGAAAAATAGTGCGCTCTTTGTCACACTAGTTTCGTCGTGCGCCGAGAGCAGATGGCCGTGCTTCACCGGCCTATGTAGCCTATATTCGTGGGAGATTGTGCTCCCCAACCCCGGGGTTTCTACGCGAAAAGGCGTGCACAAAAGCGGAGATCGCGCGCGCGCGCGATTCAAACCAGGACAAAAATCGCCGACAGAGACGCAAGAACCCCACCAACAAACGCATCACCGCTGATCTGAGACCAGTTATGGAAACCAGGAGGGGCCGGGCCTATACGACCTGTGTACCGTGGGTATACTGTAGGCATGCGCCATGCGTAACCTGGCGAGTGTGTATTGATGTTGAGTGCGTCCAACCTACAGCTTCAAAAAGAGCAGACGATGATCACACAAATAACACACCTTCCCACAAGGCCAGCTCACACCTACCATCATCGAGAGAATCCGTCGAGGGCGTGAGGGTCTACTACTGCTGCTGCTGTGCGTTGTCAGGATGGTTCATCGCGGGATTAGCTCAGATTACGTACTTGCGCCGCGCCACTCACTGTCTTCCCAAAGAAAGCCGTGCCCTGCATGTTGCTGCTGCAGGGCTGCATCAGGGCCTTCTCGGCCTCTCGCATCGAACTCATTACGTCACATCACCATCAATGGCTTTTGTTGTTTTTTCTTGATTTATTGTTTATGCTCGACTGCTTGCTTTCACTTGGGCGGGAAACTCGGCAGGCTTGAAACGAATGTGGCGGGCAAGTTGTGAGCCTGACGCAATATTTGCCATCTGTCGTGTTACAATCCTATGTCTACGCTGCTGGTCGTGCTCCCCCACGGTGTGTTGCGTGCTACGCTCGCCGCCGCATGTATGTACAATGTGTGCCTCTTGCTGATGCCCAGCAGATGTGCTTGTTTGCGTCCGCACAGCGGGAAGACTTCACGTTTTTTTGTTTCGTGCATGTATGTGCATCAAAACGGAAAGAAATAACCGCATGCAAAGTGCAAAATTTTGAACGGTGGCCGCACATACAATCATCGTCACTCCCGTCGCACGCATGCTGTCCCTCTATGGTGCAGCGTAGCTGCACCACAAACGATTCACGCTGGTGTGTGTCGGGACTCGTGCATCATCAGCATCGCAGGTAAGACTAATGCGAGGTATTGAGTCGCACCACGCGGCTCATTACCCCCCCATACCTAGTATCACAGCCAATGCGGCCGACAGCATCAGCAGCTACAATATGCTCTTCATCACTCCTCACCACCCACATTCATCGACTTAAACAGCGGCGCGTGCAATGCGTCCCAACTTCCACCTTAACTGTCACAACCTTCACACGCCTTCGCCCTTGGTATTATGTCTCCACATCAACCTTATTGACATAATTCCCACCCTTCTTCGGAGGACGGAGGGGGGTTGAGGCCCCCCCCGTCCGGGACCCGTGCCTGCTTTATGTAGACATCTTCTCTGGTTTCATAACAGAGTCGAAATCTCACCAGGAGACGAACTCCCAGTCCCTCGGCGGAAAAAAAATTGGGTTCCAACTACTCGCCGATGTACCTGCAAAGGGCCCGAGCGGCCGGGCTTGTTCTGTGCTACATCATTAGAGTACTGCTGTAGATGATGATGTGGTACTGCTGCGTGTGTGTGCTGTACGACGTGAATCTTCGAAAGTACGAGGTGTTTCAAATTTCAAATTCATGCCCACCTCAGCCGTTAGCCCGTTCTGAGTTGAGACAAGTTGCAGGATCTCCTCGCCCATCCCGTCCAGCATGCAGCGCTGCTCCTCGCCGACCAACACAGCAGTGTCTGGCATGGTTCCAATGGTCTGCTGACAAGGCTAGCCCTGTAGCTACTGGTGGGTGGTTGTGCAACTAACTCACCGTACCTGTATCGGTCGCAGAGGGCGCACGCTGCTGATACATATACCCTATGCACCCGACTATTCTCACCACGAGACCCCCTGTTTGAATTTCAAATGCGGCCTGTCCTGTGTCTGCTGTTTATCGCTGGAGGCTGTGTACTGCTGCTGTGTACGCTGTGCGCTAGCCCCTGCCAACGGGTACGGCTGTGGGCGTGTTGCACATCGCCGCGATGTGGTGACTAGTTGTTTTGTGGGCTCCGTTGTTGGTGACAAACTCACGTATTTTGGATACCTCTGAGGACAGGACCGCCTAACAGCAGGGTCATCATCGAGGAGCCGGAGCTTGATCTTGCTGTGGGCTGGGGAAGAAGCTGGGGTTGTTGGTGTCGCCACTTTCGTGCATCTACAGCAGTCGCTGACGACGGAAGACCAGCAAGCAGCAGGGGGGGTGATTGGCACCGCACGAGCACATCGAGTAGGGCAGCCTACGAAGTACTGAACCATCTGCTGCGTGTTGAGTGTGGATACATACGACGTGGCTAACGTCTGCTGCTGAGGAGATATAGAGTAGGAGACCAAGGGGGATTTGTGTGCGCTCGGATTCAGCTGCGATGAGCGCTTCTGCTGGAGTCAGCGTGCAGAAGAGGCTCTCTGACCAGAGGGCTAGGCTGCTGGCTTTGGATTACCATGACCCCTTCACCGCCGAGTCGCTCGCGTTGGTGGAACGGCTGTTTGAGGATCTGGTCACCACAACAGAGAGCTACGAGGACCTGCAACAGCGGGTGAGAGAGCAAACGGATGCAGAGAGCACGCATACGGGAGGACCCACACCTATTGTATGATGCTGCTGGTGCTGCTGCTACGCACTGCCACACATGAAGCCTTTGGAGTGTTGCGTGCCGTGTTTTTTTCCCTCTTGCCTCGGAAGCAACCTGGTGCCAGGGGGTGCACGGGTACTCTTTGCACCCTTGATCGCGACAAAGGAATCACGCCGCACGCTTTTAGTCGACGCCTCACCAGATGCGTCTAGATATTAAGGAAAAACGGCACAACAGGGTATACCCTGGTCGAAAAGCGACACACCTGGGTACACAGTCATTACCAGCAGCAAATGCACTCATGTCATTGGTCAGCGCCCAATTTCACCCGGGTGCGTCCGAAAAGGCGCAGGGTATACAACGTAGATTATATAGTTCATATATTTTTTTTCCTCCCATCATCGGATTCTGTCGTCTGCTCCTCTGGCCCCTATCCTCCACTTCTACTAAATAGCTAGACGACCCAACCGGGGTCACATAGGAGGGGGGGGCTGGACCCCCTCCTGCGGTTCCTGCCTGAGATATTTTTATCGCGAGAAGGGTACAGCAATCCCTTCCCTCGCGACTTGCGAAGTCGATTATGTATATACCCTGCCGTGACTACTTTTCTCAACATCTGTACCCTGTTTTCGGAAATGTACCCTGACCTGTCGGGAAAAAAGACCCTTTCATCAATCATTTCCCCCGCAGGAATCTTCCCAACTCCTTTTCCCCTCCAACCATGAGATACCGAACGGCGAATCTTCCCGCCCAATAACAACCATGGCAACGGGGCAGGAATCAGGTTCCGCCCCTGAGAAACAACACCAAAGATCAACTCTTCCGCTCTAAGTCAACAATGGCCGGGCAACACGTACTCCATCCAGCACAATTGTTCCGTGTGGAACCATGCACACACGCGTACGATACCCCGAGACCGATCCAGCATGGTTGACATTAATTATGCATGTGTGCGTGCGTGTGTTGTCTGTTGTATATCTCAATTGCGATGTGCCGTGCGTGCGTGCGTTGTCTGTTGTGTCTCGATCGCGATGTGTTTCTTGCTTGAACTACTGCTGTAGCAGCAGCGGTCACGCTTACCAGCCGACCAAGCCGACCAATCAATCAATGTAGTAAGAAAACGTCAGGCTTCAGCGGGATGAGCCGATGAAATACAACGCGAGCACTCTTTCTTCTCTCTACCGACAGGGAGGGTGATTGAGTTGCACGACACAGCAGTGTCCTGCTGCTAGAGTAAGGATAAGACTTGTGTGTGCGTGATTGATGTCAAGGGCGTGTCTGTGTGTGCTGGTCCTGCCTCTCCCCTCCTCCCTCTTTGCGGGCGCGAGCTCGCCGCCAGCACAGCGCCACACATTGGCACGCGCTGTGCATGTCAACCATGCTGGATCGGTCTCGTTTTGACAGCGTGACCCGTGCGTCTCGCATATAGACTGCAGCAAGTACGCGTGTGTGCATGTTTCCAAACGGAACAATTGTGCTGGGGTACGTGTTGCCCGGCCATTGTTGACTTAGAGCGGAAGAGTTGATCTTTGGTGTTGTTTCTCAGGGGCGGAAACTGATTCCTGCCCCGTTGCCATGGTTGTTATTGGGCGGGAAGATTCGCCGTTTGGTATCCCATGGTTGAAGGGGAAGAGGAGTTGGGAAGATTCCTGCGGGGGAAATGATTGATAAAAGGGTCTTTTTTCCCGACAGGTCAGGGTCAGGGTACAGATGTTGAGAAAAGTAGTCACAGCAGGGTATATATGCCCTGCGCCTTTTCGGACGCACCGGGGTGAAATTGGGCGCTGACCAATGATATGAGTGCATTTACTGCTGTTATGACTGTGTACCCAGGTGTGTCGCTTTTCGACCAGGGTATACCCTGTTGTGTCGTTTCCCAAATATTAACTACTGGTCTGCTGCTGTATAGCGGTGCCGGCCCGCAGGTCCTGTTGTATGGTGGTGATATCATCGTTGCGAGCTGGACAGTAGTGGTACCTGCAATGTAAATGGCCGCATGGTTTGGTATTATCCTCGTTTGGCGGGCTTGTCATGATCAAGAATGGGAGGAATGTCATGTCTGCATTGTAGAATGGACGAGTTCAATGTATCATGAACATTCCGACCAACCATTCGGTAGCATGGCAGGCGCGACGCCCACCCCCTCCTATCGCGGATTCCGCTGGTTCTGGCGACCCCCCCCCCAAAGAATGTGCTGCTGGCCCCCGAGGTCAGACCAACCTTGGCTATGCCCCGCGCTTGTATCGCCTTTCTGAAAACACAAAATTTGCATACATGCACATCGCCATAATAAATAGGACGACAACACACACACACACACACACACACACACACACACACACACACACACACCTACAGGGTGAAGGCGATCCAAGTGTCTCGGGTAGGCAATAAGGAGCAATTGTGTTTGAAGTTTGTTGGGTTGTGTGGTGCCATGTTTTTACCGCCACCAAATCCGGTTGTACTCGTGGTATGCATTGTAACAGGTGGGGCTTTTTGGACTTTCTCGGACACAGGAAAATCAAACCTTTCCGAAAGTTTTGTCAACTGTCCCTTTCCCGGGGTACATGAGAGCATGTTGGGCGTTTTCTTTCTTGCGCGTTTTGTTCGTGTGTACGTCTACCATGGTCTGCGGTGTCGATGTGTTGCCGGATTTTTTCGTATGCATCCGTGTGTGTGCTTATTGCAGCTGTTGCGTCCTTTTTCTGTCTTATTTGCCTGTCGCTGTGTCGTATCGCACGATTGTAAAGTCTTTCGTTTTCGCCAAACATACATCGTGCCTGCAAACAATGCTTCGCAGGAGGATCAGACGGCCGCCGACCTGGCCCTGAGCCGCGCGCAGCTCTTCCCGCTCAAGAAGGAGAACGCCCGCCTGCTACGGGACAACAACCTTCTGCACCTCAAGGTGCCGTAGCAGGAGGTCTTCCGCCGCTGCTTGCAGTGGTTCTTGCTCATGCGGCTGCTGTTGCTATTATGTCGATTGCTGCCCTTGACGAACAGCAGGGGGGTTTACCTTTTTTTGTTCCACACCGATGCTTGCGGTCGCTGTTGCTGATTCTGCTCATGTTTCATTGGTGTCGTTGCTCTGTCGATCGCTGCCCGTGACGAACACAGTGAGGTTTCTCATGATCTGATTGGAATCCACGGCAGAGCATACAGTCGTCTCATGCGTCCCCTTCTTCGGACTGATTGGTTGGCAAGCTTTGTACTAACCAGCCCTGCCGCGCTCTGCGGCACCTCGAGCGTACGTTCGCGCCCAGAGGTGGATGTAGCATCTCTTTACGGAGTGCCGTTGTGTTGCTTCTTGTATCCCGGCCGAATCTCCTCAGGTTTTCACCACGTTTCAAAGACCCTTGCGCCTCAGCGTTACTCGAGTCCTCGTCAAATCGAAACCGAAAACTCTGCAAGGTGTGAACAACCACGCCTCCCTCTTGCCTAGTTGTCCCTGACGCCAACACGCATCCCTGCCCGTGCAATCCAATCCAATCTACCGACCAATCCAACCTTCCCCGGTAGGTGATCAAAGCGGCAGAGGACGCAAGCGGGGCAGAGCGGTCCTTCTTGCTCCTGGAGAAAAGGGCCGAGGCAGAGCGCGAGGAGAGCAGATGCTTGGGAGCGCAGAAAGATCTCAGGATCTCGGAGCTGGAAGTGCAGGTGCTAATCGTCGTCAAGCATTGGATGTTGATAGCAGGCATGACGCCTCTTTGGTGTTTGGGGTCTACGCTAGATTCCGTAGTAGATCGGGGACGTGTATCATGACTACGTACAGCCACGTTCGGTCACCACATGCGTTTACTCGGCAGGCTTGAGTAGCAGCTCAAGACGTTCAGCATAGGCCGCATGGCTGTGGTTGGCAAGTGTACTGGGTGTGCAATGCATGTGGCCTTCTTGAGAGACACGGCGGCGTTTTTCACAAGGCACGTCACTTTTGTCACTTTTCAAGCGTTGTTGCGTATGTGGGCGACCCCCTGACGAACAACAAACACCGCAGTTTCTAGCCGGCATCTGGTGAAGTGACACGAATAATGGGGGGGCTTCAATGCATAACGCAGTCAACAGGCGTGTCAGGCTTCGTGCATGACGGCACTGCCACAGCAGTCCAGCTCACGATCGTCGCGGGAAAAATCGTCGCAATGTGGTGAGCTCTCTCCTCGATTAGCACTGCCCGTTTCTTTCGTTTTGAGCTCGGTAGGGCTTCTGGTGTAAGCTTGAGGCCCTTCCTTTGACCGTGGCAGTCCGATCCGTACTATGTATTGCTGGCTTATTCCTTGCATGTCGGTTTCACCATGGTCGAAATACCCGCAAACGCCGTACGGATCGTTCGCTCGCGAAACATTCTCAACCGAGTAGGTCGACCAGCTTCGGACCAGCTTGGCCGGAGCGCTAGACGGCGCTGCCGCGACCCAGGAGGACCTTGCTGGCGGAGGCACTGGGAGGGCTACGGCGAGGAGGCGTAGCCGGGTGCAGGGTCTGAACGGGCTCGACAGGTACGTCCTGTGGGGTGATGATAGTGGACGTTCTTGCCGTGCTTCTGATGCCGTTGTTGTTCCTGTTGTTATTGTTGTGTTGTCGCTGGTGATGGTGGTGGTGGTAGTGCTGCTGCTGCTGCTGCTGCTGCTGCTGCTGCTGCTGCTGCTGCTGTAGTTCCTCACGGCAATCAGGAGAGTTCCGTCCTCGCGGAAAGAGATGCGGCTTCCCCGGCCAGAGCTCCGATGCCACCCCCTCCACTTCAAAAGAAGAGGAGACGAGGTTCGCCAGCGGTACCGAGAAGATGCTTGGCCTGTTTTGGCTTTATCGCCGCGGTTTCACCTGTTCTGGGACAGAAACGATAACGTGGTGTATTTTTTTTTTTGTGATTCTTCCCCGTTTCTCAGGGAGATGGAGGCGTCGAGTCCGATGATGCCGCTATCGTCTCGTGAGGGAGGGGGACGAGGAGGGGCGAGGAGCGGGAGCGGGCGGGGGCGTGATGACGACGGCGGGATGGGGTTGGGGCCTGAGGTAGGACTGTAGGGTAAGGGTTGGGGGGTACGAGAAATGAAGGGGTCGCGATCCCAGAGGGGGACTTGCGCCCCGTGGCAGGACCAAGTGTAGCCCCGCTCAAGCGGACACGCGGGGAACGGGCCTGCGTTATTTTGGCATCGGTGCTAGAGTTTGGGTGAATATTGGGTGTCTCTTCAGGTTGAAACAAACGCGGGAGTGATTTCTGGGGTGGAACAGGAGGTACAGTTTGGGTATTATTGGCCTCCCTCGCAGGAGGAGGGAAACCAAGCTTTGTTGGCTGTGTTGTTGGACTTGAAGCAGCGTTTGCAGGACGGCGATGTCCTAGAAGCCGTGGTCGTTTCAGGGCGATCGATCGCGTGGGCGTCAAACCGTGCGACACCGTCGTAAGGTGTTCCCCGTGTGTGCAATAAAGAATTGCGGGCCCAGCGTTCCCTCCCGCGGCTTGGTCCCGGCAAGGTTGTACCAACGGCGCTGCCGTACCCGTGGTTCTAGAGATCGAGCTGCTGCAACGTTCAGGTTTACGACGACAACCACCTTTCACCCAGGCGCCCTCCGTCTTACCCCGCCTTGTGTGTTTGGAACCGAATCCACCCAGGACGAACAACGCTTGTCGGACGTGGTGGAAACCCTTCGAGCGAGACTGGAGGAGGCGTCTCAGTCTCTGTCGGGCATGGAAGAGGAGAGGGCGCGGCTGGAGAAACAGGTCGAGTCCCGGGAAGAAGAGATCGCCCGCCTCGGCAGGCAGACCGGCAGCGACACCAACATCGAGAAGGTATTGGAAAAAGAATACATTGTCGCGTGTATCGCGTCAGTCGTTTCGTTTATTTTCTGGGGAGTTCTGTAGTCCCAAAAGTGACAATGAGACCGACTCGCAAGCATACTGCCCGCTACCCTGGCGAGAAACCCCTGGATAGACAATTCTTCCCTCAACACCAAGAACAACTGAACTCGCCGAAAACAGAGAAACAGCATGAGCACGAACTGCCTTGTTTTTCCTTAAGGTAAACAACGATGCCCCCCCCCCGAAAGCTATTGTTCGACAAACGTTGGCACCGCGAAACGAAGGGTGCCGTCGAAGGGCACCATGAAACATTTTTCTAGCAGCAACCTTTCCTGTTTGACCTGTTTGTGTCCACGGAAACACAGAGTAGTCTGGCTGAAATACCCATGCCAGGCTACAGGGGTACGTACGTCCACCGAAACATGTGTGCATGTGTGGCGATTGATAAGTCAAATAAGAGAGAACACCAAGGAGAGTGAGTGTGTTCCCCATCCCTTCCGATTGGCGGAACCCGACTATGTTCATTTCGAGGGCTAAAGCCGAACACGGTGTACACTTACTGCCGTGCACGACGCACTACGCTGAGAACACCGACCCCCCACCCACGATCGTTCTCCATGGCGCCCTGCATGGTGTACCAACAGGTGACTCTGGCGCACGCTTACGAAGCGAACCAGCGCATCGTGGACCAGCTGAACGACCAGGTCGACTTCTTGAACAGGCAGCTAGCCAACAGGGAAGCCCAGCTGGCAGAGGTGGGTGGGAAGTAAAAATTGAGAGTGAAACGCTTTGACGATTCTTCTTCCCGATTGAGTTGCCCCCACCGCAGCTGCTCCATCCTCGTGAGGACGAACGGTCAATGATATTACATCTAGCGTGCCAAACATGAGTGCGCCCCCAGCCGTAGGGGAGGGGTCACGCGTCGCCCAATTGCCGAACCCATGGCTTGCAAGGAGGTTGCAACGACGTGTACCAAGAGAGGCGGCAGGTTTGACTATCGGGCGGATCCTGTGTTGTTTGGTAGAGCGTGAGAGTGATACTCGCATACAGCTTCGACAAGCATGGGCCCCGAAAAGATGGCGCCGAAGGTTTAAAGTGCAGTCACTTCTTGGCGTTCTTCAGCTGTTTGCTCATACAAACAGCATGCCTAACCCCGGCGGGCGGATTGTTCACTCGCTTTTTTTCTTCGGTTTCGAGGCGCTCCCTTCTCCAATCTGTGTGTTTCGCGGAGCAAAACGCGGTTACCTCTCACGCACTCTCGCCCCTCGGTTTCGGTCGGACAGGTCCGAGAAGAGGCGTCCAACAGGGGGAAGGCGGAGCCGATGGCGACCCCGGCCGAGCTGGAGGTGACCCGTCTGCAGGTGATTCATGCCCCGCTGGCTTATGGTGTCTCTGTCTCTCTCGGTCTCTCTCTGTCCTCTCTCTTTCTATTTATGTATCTCTCTCCCTTTCTCTCTCACACACACTCTCTGTCTGTCTGTCTCTCTCTCTCTCTCTCTCTCTCTCTCTCTCTCTCTCTCTCTCTCTCTCTCTCTCTTTC